TATTGTTTTATCTTTTCGCAAAGAGAGAGACCAGAGGGTAGCGGGTAAATTTTAAGTCAAACGAGGGGCACTTTAGTCGTTTTCAGGGCGAGGGTAAGGGGGTTTAGAGACCAAAACCAACGTGGCCGCCTAAACCTCTCTGCTTCCTTCTTTTTTTAATCCATCTTCCCTCCCTCTCTCCCCTCCTCTCTGGTAGACGACGAGAAATGAAGCAAGGCCAAACGACGACGACAGCGGCGATGGAAATCGTCGGCATCGGAAGTAAGAGATGATTCTTTGCTTTCATTTCGGATTTGGGGGGGTTGCATGTCTGATTTTCTGGTTTGATTTAGAAGTTTGGGGGAATTTTAGGGTTCTGACCCTTTTATGTTGTTTCGTTTAGGGATTTGTTCTCGATCAAGGGAAGGGAGAACGAGGGTCGTCGCCCTCGAAAGACTTACCGGTGATGGGCACGGCGGCGGTTCTGGGTATCACCGACAGTGAGGGTAAGAGGGTTTTTTTCGCTTGCATGTCGCATTTGGAGGCTCGGTTTTATTTAAGGGTCTTGACCCTTCTTGTTTGTGCGTTTTTTGAGGGAGGTCGGAACAGAAGGAAAAGGATCGAAAGGGGTGGCCACTGGCGAGCCCGACGATGGAAAGCGAACGAGGAGCAAAGGAAAGCATGGACCGCCGAGAGCTTTGCCGCCAACCAACGGTGGGTGGGCATGGTGAGTTCTGTCTGGTTTTTGTTATTAATGAGTTTTGGGTCCTGAGGGATTCATGGTGACTGTTTTGGGTGGAAATATGGTTGTTTGGAGCTTTTTGTGATTGTTTTACTGTAGCTTAGAGAGTGGATTTTAGTTGCTGTCATAACGTTTTTTTATGATTGGTTTAATCACGTGAATCGGTTTTTGGTGATTGCGATGGTTTTTGCTAATAAATTGTATGTACCAAATCTGTTCTTGATTGCTTAATTTGGATTTTAGCTTAGTTACTTATATAGTGGAGCACACCCGATAAAAATAAAGTGATCAAGACAAGAACATGAAAGAAAACGAATCGGGTTTTCTGTTTTTAATATGGAAGTGCTAAATAAAAAAGAAGATAACATAGTATAAGTTTAATTGAGATGATAGATGAAACGTATAGTTATGCATCTATTAGTAGATTAGTAATTATAGAAAAAATATACATAACTATAAGTTAGTTATCTCAACAGGAAGAAAGCTAACTTGAATCAAAATACATGAATACTATTTAGTTTAAAACTAGGCGAACTAATGATGATTATAGTAAGTAATTGGATTATAAATGTTAATTGCTTGAAAGGAAAAGATATTTAGATTTGATCCCTTTTAAGGTGTTTAGATCGACTTGATTTAAGGCAAGGTGATGGCTTTGTATTCTTGAAATTGGGTGTTCATGGTGGGTGCAATTCTGGAAACTTTTTGGGTGAACGGGACATGAACTTATGAACCTGAGTTTTAAGGTTTTTTTTATACTTGGTGGCGTTTATGATGAAACTGGTTTTGGAAATAGTGTTGTGTTTATGGTTTGAAGTTTGGTGAGTTCATATGGGGTTTGAATCTGGAATTTTATGGGTTTTTTGTGGATTTGAACCGATGATTTGAGAGGTTATTGGGTTCGAACCTATTTCTGCTTTTGGACGGAGCTTGATGACATGGTTTTTATGGTGAAGCTTGTGTTGGAATTGTTATACGGTATTGATGGTGTTTTTTCATTAGTATGATGAGTAGAGAAAGAAGTGTAGATATAGATTATAGCATATGGTGTATAATAATATACAAGAGCTTAAAGGAAACTAATAATTATAAATAGCTGAATGACTATTGAAAGGGATTGAAAATATGATTGCTTGAAGTTGATCTCACTTGATTTCTTGTAAGACCATTTTATGAAAGAAAGTCAGAAGTAGGATGACAAGGAGGTTGACGAATGATATGATAGTAGGGTTTTGTTTTAGTAATCTTGTGGCTCGTAGCTTGGTGATGATTCTGACTTTTTCCCTGGCTCCTTCGGGTTCGACTTGCTGCCTTTCTGCTGCTTCCTTCCTTCCTTTCTAGTTTTTGTTGTTGTTATTGAGTATCTCGTGTGTGGTGTGTGTGTGTGTGGCTACAAAGAAAAGGAGGGAGGAGTGGAATGGAAGTGTTGCTTCAGTGTTTTTTTGTTTGTACGAAAGAGCGGTGAGTGGAGTCTGATTTTTTGTAATCTGTCTTTTCTGTCTTTAGCGAGGCAAGAAGAAGATGAAGAAGAGGAGGTGAAGGGAAGCCCCTCTCGTTTAGAGAGGTGGAAAGGAAGTATGAAGAAGAAGAAGTGGGTAGCTCTCTGTTTTTTTGTAACTTGAAAGAAAGGAGGAGGAAAAGAAGAAGAAGAAGAAGAAGAAGAAGAAGAAGAAGAGAATGAGTTTTTTGTTCTTCTGGTTGTTGTTCAGAGGGGAAAGAAGTCTTCCTCTATTTTTTTTTCCAGTCCCCTTCGAAGAAGACGGAGCAGATTTTTTATAGATAAGGGAAGCTTGTTCTCCAAGCTTGCAACAGCAACAGTTTGGGTAAGATCGGTCATGGTTTGGGTCGGACCGGTCTGGATTTGGTCAGACTTGACCGGGTTGATTGACTTGACTTTTGTTGAGTGAATTGACCAGTTGACTTTGGCTTTGGATTTTGATTTTGGCCTATATTTTCTGATTGTAATTATTATAATGTTTTTTATTTAGCTAAGTGTGTAATTATTGTTTAATGAGAAAAACAAACAATTTCATTCATCATTCCCAAATCAAGCCCCAAATTCTCGCAAACCTAATGCCTAAAAGCAACTCATTAGTTACAATTTTTGTTTAACCAAACCAACATTGTCAAATCGTGTAAAACAAGACTCATGACTCAAATTAGATTTCATTAGATGGGATCTCTAGCCGTAGATTTGCTATTGCAAATCTTGTCAATTCACGAACTAATACACTCTCCTTCAGCGCCTCAAATATGGTTTTAATTGGAAAGATGTATGCGATTCGCAATAGTCAATTTTGAACAAACTAAGATCTCTCTAGTTAGTTATATGTTTCTACCCGGACAAAATGCGGTGTCTACAGGGTGTTTCCTTTAGCCTTCGCCATTGTTGAGGGAGAGAATGCTGATAGCTATGGATGGTTTTTCCGACAAATCCAAATCCACATCACCAGGAGGACGAACCTGACAATAATCTCTTATCGGCACGCCGGCATTAGAGCTGCCATCTTAGGCCTGGATCCAGCCTGGAATTGGTCCCAAAGGTGCTGCATACGACACTTCAAGAGCAACTGGAACCATCATTTCAAGCGGAAGAAGCTAGCTGATAATTTGTGGTGGATTGGTAACCTCTCTATTTCTGTCAATTAACAATATCTTGTAATATGGGGAGTGGTGCACTTGTTAGACTCTTTCTAAAGAGATGCATGCCTAAGGAAATGGGGTTTTAAGCGATTATCATGGTCCTCCCATTTCCTGGGAAAATCGGGTTTTAAGCGATCTTCGGATCCCCCCTTTTTCTGTCAAACAGGCTGTGTTTCTAAGGAGATGTATACCTCTCCTAAGAGTCTAATGAGAGTATGATCGTGTTGTTTGAAATTGTACTAAACTGAGGATCATTGACTAACGTACTACTTTTCTGTGTGTTATTCAGCGGTTGCATACCAGGAGAAAAAATTTCAGGAGAAGTTGCAGAAGATGAGCGAGTTATGCCTTGAAGGGGCACAGTGGCTGGATGGACACGATCTATCCATGTGGACATTTCATAAAGATGGAGGGAAAAGATGGGGTATTGCCACAACCAACTCAAGTGAGAGTATCAACTCTGTCTACAAGGCCGTTCGTGCACTGCGAATCTCTGCCATTGTGGAGATGAATTTTTGGAAAACAAATGCATGGTTCGTGAACCGACTCCACTGGGCAAGGACGAACGAGGCACAGGGAAAGGTCCATGCCTATAAAGTCACTGAAATAATGGATAATGACAATCGCAAGAGCAGTCGACATAGTGTAACCGTTATGAATCGGGCAACTGGTGAGTATAACGTGACGACCGGACATCGGGAGGATGGTAGACGGGGGGGCCACCGTCATGAAGTTTTGGTCAATTTCAGGACCAAAGTTGGTGAGTGCTCATGCCAGAAGTATCAGGGGAGAGGGTGGCCTTGTTCTCATGCATCGGCCGTAGTTAAAAACAGGAGCAAAGACCCCCGTCACTTCGTTAGTCCATTCTTCAATATCGACTCACTCAAAAGCACCTATGGATGGAGTTTCCGTGCATTGCCTGATGAAGCTTATTGGCCGCTGTACGAAGGGAAATTGATCGTCCTGCCATTCGGACAGAGGCGTGAACCGAGTCGCCCGAGGAAAAAGAGAATTCAGAATGAAATGGATCAAAGTGGAAGACCACCACGAGGTCCAAGACGATGTTCAGTATGCAAAGTTCCAGGACATGATAAACGAAGGTGTCCAGGACCGATTGGTCCACAAAATCCGGGTGCTGATGTGCCGGACTCAGCTAATGCGACATAATTTTCGATTATCATTCGTCAAGCTAGTTGTAACACTCAACGTTGCATTTAATTGTGTATTGTTGATTGAACGAATTGGGATTATATCAAGTGAAGAGGACTCGTCATAATAACAATTTGATCAACACTCAACGAAATAAAATAGAATAAAGGGAATAGTCCCAAGTACATAGAGATAAAAATCAACTAAAAATACATCTCAAGGAAGTCCTCCCAACTACTGAAGATGATCCTAAGCCATCCACAACTAAGGAGATTGCTTGATTTCTTGGAGAAGAACACTCCTCCGATCATGCCTATGAGATAGACACGAGCATATCTCTCCTTCTCATCCTCCGGACTTTCCTCGGTTAGGGGATGACTCTCGTAATGATCTCTAAAATACTTCGTCAACCATGTAATTGAGACTTGGTGTTTCCTCATTGGTGGCATGCGATCGGTCGCATCAACGCAACCCTTCACCGGTACTTTCACTCCCAAATGACTGTGGATGAAATGCTGCCAACCGGGCATACCGTCACAATCCTCAGGGGTTGATCACTCACGCACACCGGTTTGCCGTCGATGGGCATATGAGTTAGGATGGCGACATCCTTTAGCGTGCTGGTGGCCTCTCCTTCTCTAAAGTTGAAACAATGGGTCTCCTTTCTCCATCTCTCGGCTAATGCGGTGATGAGTTGGCAATCGATTTGGATGCCGTTAAAATGCATAATCGAGTCTAACCGTGCCCTTTTGAGAAATGGCAAGATAGCTAGGTGGAATAGGAGCACATTGGTGGTACCCCTGTAGCGGATTATTGTTTGTGCCTACTAGCAAAAATGTACACGTTAATTATTATATATTAGTAAGGGTTTTTTTTCGTATAATTAAATTAAATTATGCGACATAAAGCAGAATTTTATTATCATAAAAAGACATTTCATATTATCATATTATCATAAAACAAACGTCCTAAATTAATTAACATAATAACATTGTCAATGAATAATAATTTAAAGAGGTACATACATATTATCGTAAAATAAACATACTAAATTAATTAACATAAATAACATTGTTAATGAATAATAATTTAAGTAGAAAAATACATATTCAAATATTTGGTAAATAATTTAATCGTATTAGTTGTTTTAAATAATTTAATCGAATACAAAGCAACACTCGTTAGACTCTTAGAAGAGGTATACATCTTCTTAGAAACGCAGTCTTTTTGACAGAAAAAGGGGGGATCCGAGGATCTCTTAATACCCGATTTTCCCAGGTAATGGGAGGATATGATAATCACTTAAAACCCAATTTCCTTAGACGTGCATCTCTTTATAAAGAGTCGAAGTAAGTGGCGCTATGTATTCGATTAAATTATTGAAAACCACCAACACGATTAAAAAATAAACATAAATTTATTTTATATTACACTAGGCACATTACTAAAATAAAAGAAGGACAAATGGTGAAGAATTATATGTACCGGGTGATCGTTCCAAACATCCCTTGACCGATGGTTGGGTTGGTCGTACAAGTCGGTTGGATCCACCGGTCCTTGCTCGAGATAATATCGTTGGTTGTATATATCGACGTCCTCCCCAACCTACGAGAAAATAACAACGAGGTTAGTACATAGATTAATTAAAAAACTTATAACAACAACAAAAATTAAACTAGAATAATGAGTACATACTGCTTGAAATTCATCAACATAAACTCCTTCTCCTTGCTACCAATCGGCCATTTTTTCGGCGTAATTCGGACAGAGCTTCGGCTCGGCTCGGCGGGTTTTTGAGAAAAAAACCTAAGAAATGTTTTCTGATGGCAGATCGGACTTAGCCGCAACCAACAGACTTTTATTTCCTAGGCTTTTGGGGGGGGGGGGGGAGGGTTTAGAGAGATTAAATCTAGAGAGAGAAGGAAGAATGGGTTGTGGAGTGAAGAAATGAGAGGGGGGAAGGCTTTCTTAGTGGTGCGTTTTATGTGGCATAAATCGCACCTTAGTGGTGCGTTTTATGTGGGAAACGCTTTCTTAGGCTGCGTTTTATTTATAAAACGCACCTCTAAGGTGCGTTCCATAAAAATAGGTGCTAGTAGTGTAAATTTTATCGAATGTGTGCTAGTTTTGTAATTTTTATTTAAAGGTGCTATTATTGGAAAAATCTCATTACTCTTGTTCCATGTGATGATGTGAATCAGGAACTAAGGAGGGTATCACACCCAAAGAAAGGAGGAAGAAAGCTTGGAGGGAAAGGATGAATCACGTTATTGCCCGTAGGAAGGACAAGGGCAAAGCAAAGATCATCGGCCAAGAAAGCTGCCCCATGGAGTTTAAGTTGGGAGGCGACATGCCTCGCCCCGAGATCATGGCGGATCCACTCTGGGTGGCCTCACGTTCAAAGGCGTGATAGATCCGCAACCGTCAAGCTAGTGACGTTAACTTAGCGCTTGTTGGGAGGCAACCCAACGTAGGGTTGTTTTCTTTTCCTCATTTTCTCTTTTTGTTTTTTAGTGAAGAGTTTAAGTGGTCGAATTGCTATCCTCGTGCCAGGTCTTTGTGATTGTGTTTTGAGATGTGTTCTAATCGATTGTAGGAACAATGGAGTAGGTCAAATCAAAAAATTTTGGAAATGCCTTGTTTTCATTTCAATTCAAGGTTTGAGTTTGCAGTTCGCGGTCTTAATTGACCGTGAACTGCTCAACGCATCCATGAACCAGGGCACTCCGCGTTTTACACAAAACTCGTCGTTTCATCCCAGTTCGAGGTCTGCGAGTTATGTTCACGATTTTAACGATCATGAACTGGGCAATGCGTCTGTGAACTGGGGGCTCTGCCTATAAAAGGGGCGTTAACCCCTCAGTTCACTTCAAGACCTAAATTTTTGCCAAAATCCTATCAAATTCGCTGCAAAACTGCAGTTTTTTGACGAATTTTGTCGATTTCATCGACCTCCGGCAACCAAAATCCAAAATCAATCACAAACCCAATCTTCCCATGTCGAGGGCGACCTTCGCTGCAATTTTGGGGAGATTGGGCTCTGGTTTTTTTCTGGAGAGGTGATATCCGGCGACCTCTCCTCACTTTACCTGCAATCCTACATGAGTCTCCGGGTTTGTTTTCGACCTTAGCATTGTAATATTTGGAGAATCGGATTAGGGTGTGAAGTGAGGTGAATTTAGTGAATTGATTGTTGAATGTAGAAATTAGGCGAGGGATTAGTTGATTCTAGGTGAATGAATGTTGCATGAGCTTAATTGAGCCTTGGTGGGCATGATTTAGATACATATTGCGTTTAAATGTGAAATTTGCCCACCAAGTGCAAAAATGTGAATGAATGTGGTTGTTTGGTGTTTGTGTGGGGGATGGTAGCCGTCGTGGCATGGTTCGGGTTTGACATTGTGTGGATAATCCGTGAAACACCTGGAACCAGGCCTTGATGTGCTTGAGCTTAATTGTTTGAATTTATTCTCGAGGAAAACTTTCAATGGCATGGAACTGTAGTGGGAACATAAGTGTGGGGGGAATTCTTTTTCCCCCGATGGGTTGAGCCTAACAATTATTTCCATGTATGGTGCATGTTTGACTGTTTTGCAGGATGGTCTACATGAACCACATGTACCTTTCGGTGCTTAGAGGGAAACCCGCAATGTAAGAAGAGCTGAGATTTTGAGCAAGCGCTCACTCCGAATGCCACTGGAAACTCGACTTCCCTCAATTCGATGGTCTTCATTGTGGAGATATCATGAGGGAGGCTGTGTCGCACCCACAATGGTGTCGGCTCCTTGAAATAGAAGATTATATTTATGGGGAGCCGTGTGTCGAGTTTTTCAGTACCTTCATCATCTTTAAGAGCAAGAGCCTGTTCGAAAATCAGAGGTGCAAGATGAAATTCCACTTTGAAGGAGAGAATTTTGCACCTTGACTTTTGATGGGTTAGCCCGAGCCATGGGAGTTGAAGCCGCATCTGGAGCAGAGTGGGAAGAGGACGCCTCTAGAGGTTGCGACATGAATGCAGAATTTCAAAGATTTTGCCTCCTGGAGCACCAACGAACACCGTTTCTATCGTCACTCACGTTGGCGTCCACACTCAAGCCACAGTGGCGCATCATCAATGCACTCCTTACCCGTGCTATTCGTGCTATCACATTCCGAACAAGATAACCGAGAGGATCTTGCTGACATTCACTTGCATTGTGGACCCGTCTAGCAACATTCATCTTGGTACGATATGGCCACCTCATTCGCCAGAGCCATGGAGCAAAATGACAATATGTTACGTCGTTGGGGACCTACATCACCCATCTTGATCGTCAGTTCAATGTCAATATGGCGGGCTACACAAAGGAGGGGCACTCCTCGGGGTTCGAAGAGGGCACCTCAAGTTCCATACGTTTACTTCGAGCATTTGGACCATTTCAGTTTATCGAGGGACTATCTCTACCACTAAGGGTCCCTCCTCTAGAGCAGCCACTTGTTCCAGCTCCTGGCCGCCGTCGACGTCTTGCACTTCCACGTCATGCACCTCCACCACCAGCAGCATCATCATCCGGAGCTGGTCCTTCCATGGTGGGGATCATCGCGTGGAGAGGATGGATTGCCTCGAGACTCACGTTGTGGGAGTCACCAATCGGCTCGATCGCACCACAGATTTGATAGAGAGGATGGCTCGCTGCCAGGGTGTCCTTCAGGACGATGAGCCGGGGCCTTCGACCCGTGATGAGGTAGCCGACGAGTGAGACATGTGGCACAGCCGATTTCTTTCTCCCCACTTCTCCACTTGGAACTCCGAACTCTTTTATCCTTTACGTTGTTTTTCTTTCACTTTATTCAGTGTGTGTGTGTGAACAATTAGTATTACTACTATCGTATTGTTATGTGTGTGTTTGCTTTTTTCTTCTCTTTGAAGCTCCAATCTCCTACCCCGGAAAAAAATTCCAACTTTCACTCACCAAGCCATGCGGTAACATCATTCTACCCCTATCTTACACCATTGAGGTCAATGTTGAGATTAAGTGTGGGTGGGGTAGTTTATTATTATGCTTATGTGAGTGTGATTGAATGCTTGGAGCCTTGATGTATGCCCAAATTTGAAAATTTTGAGGGAACCAAGCAATGCTGGCATGATCAAAGTGGCTGGTTTGTGGGAGAATCTCATGGGGGTCATTCTCTTGTAGGACCTTTTCGCTTGTGAGCTTCATGGTGTTTGATAGAACCACCCCTCACCCTTTCTTCTTGTCTATACGTGAGTCTTCCTTATGTCCCGGAGTCCATGCTTTGGAGCTCCATTAAAGTTTTACATAGGAGGATTTTGCGCGGTTCTTGCTAGAAAAGAAGAGATAGTGTTAGAGTGAGTTCTTAATCGAGAGCATTGTCCGTTAAATGACATATGTTTCACTCTCTAGTACCCCCGTCAAAAAGAAAAGAAAAGAGAAAATGAAAGAAGGAAAGTAGAATGAAAAATACTCGAAAAAGAGGTAATAAAACGGGGTAAAAAAGTAGAGAGTGGCCATAAAATCAAAAGTGTATGCTCTAGGAAGGGTTTATTGGCACTCAAGTCATTAAAACACCCAATTGTTGTTGAACTCCTTCACTACAATGTTTGAAATGTGTTAGCAAGAATAGGCCGAGGAAGTGTGCTTGAATGTAGTTCGTGATGGGTGATAGTTTGGTTTGGAAGGAAGTAAGGCTTTTGGCTGATGCTAGTGGTCGTTGTGTGTAGGGAAGGTTCTTAGTCAAAGACATATAACCTTTGGTTTTAAGGTGAAGATATAGGACCTCATGTTGTGTTTGCCACCACCCAAAAGGCATTTTCCCATGTCCAAGACAAATCCAGTCATTTGAACCCGTGTCTAAGACCTCCGGACAAGCTAGTGATTACAACCGTCCCATGAAATCTAGCATTTAGAGGTTGCCGCCGTGGTGAAGAGATGATAGGGCCGAGTGTTGATGATTGTGCACATTTTTGCACCAAATGGTCCCACCCTACTGGTCAAGAGAGTGAGTGATTCATTCTTACTTTGCATGTCATATCATACCCCGGTGAGGACCTTTGTTGCCCATTCGTTTATTCATTGGACTTGAATGTTATGCATGGCTAGTTGTGGTTGATGAGTTATCTTGTTGAGACTTTCATTGATTCATGAACAAGGTGAGAACTTTTCATATGCCCATTTTGGTGGCCTCGAATGTCGTTTGTGGTGGATGTCGGTATCGCTTTCAGCGGTCCATATATTAATTTCCAATAGCTATTTAGATTCCCCACTTTGTACCCTTTGAGTTGTAACAATAATATGTTGAGATGTTACCTTGTGTGAAATGGTTTGCTTGGGGACAAGCAAACGTCTAAGTGTGGGGGAGTGATTCAGGCCTAAATGTAAACATTTTATCCCTGTTTCTCTTTGGCGTTTGTGCCATTTGAGCTACAAAAAGGGTGGTTTTATGTTAGACTTGTTGTGTTTCAATGTGTTTCATAGTCTAACAGGTGGAACCAACCCCGGAGTCAAAAGTTGGAAGAAATGGTGCGAGGATCAGGCAAAGGGGAGGTAGCAGCCGCAGTTCACGGTCCAAGAAGTGAGTTCACGGTCATCAAGACCG